CATACTTATCCTGGTTCTCCTCGTCGGCCTCCCCCGAGTAAAGCGACAAACGTGCCTCGGCCCGCGCGGTCTGGGAGGCGTCCCGGAGCAAGGCGAACACCATGCCCAGAATCAGGCCGTAGACAGGGTCAGTGAAGACGCAGATCAGGCAGGTGAGCACAAGGAGGCCGAGCCCGCCCTGGTCCGTCTTCCACAGGTTGGCCATGTAGTGGACCGGGGCCATGCGGACGGAGGCGAATATGAGGAGCGCGGCCACCGAGGACTGCGGCAGGTACGAGAAGACGGGCATGACGGCCACGGAGATGACGAGCACCGCGAGAGCGTTAACGACCTGCGACATCTTGTGCGTGGCACCCAGCGAGAAGTTCAGGGCCGCCCTCACGAAGACACCCGTGGGAGGCATAGCGCCCACCGCACCGCAGACCGCGTGACAGATCCGCCGACCCCTTGGGCGCCTCCCGGCGTGCCGGATTCTATCATAAGACGAAGCCAGGACGCTCGCCATCGCTCGGACGTCCATTCCCTGTGTTTTTTTCCGGTGTCGTGCGTGGTTTTTTCGCCAGATGATCAAGGAGGCCCCTCGATGGTCCTCGCCTAAGAAAAAATGCACAAGTCCGAGCGATGCCAAGGACGAAGACGAATTCGGGTGCGGGTGAATATACCGGATGGTGATGGTGAGTGATGGATGAGTATGATGATGATGATGATGATGATGATGATGATGATGATGATGATGATGATGATGATGATGATGATGATGATGATGACGATTATGATTATGATTATGATTATGATGATGATGATGATGATGATGATGATGATGATGATGATGATGATGATGATGATGATGATGATGATGATGATGATGATGCGACCTGGCACCATCTGGAGGATAGATCTCGGGCGCCGCGGCCCTCTCAGGGCGTTCCTTCCGGAACGCTCCGAGAGAGCCCTGCGGCCCCGCCCGATGCGGGCGCGTCGGACTCGATCACCCTATGCAGTCCCCTTGGCATCGCTCGGACCTGTGCAATTTTTAATCAGGCGAAGACCATCGAGGAGCATCCTTGATCCTTCGGCGAAAAAACCACGCACGAAACCGAAAAAAACACAGGGAATGGACGTCCGAGCGATGGCGAGTCCCCCTCGCCGGATCCAACCTTGTGTTCTTGAGGGGGGGCTGTCCTGGCCGATCTCTGGACGAACTCACCTGGGGGGTTCCTGTGGCCCACCAGAGGCCCAAGATGGTCCAAGGGGGCCTTCCAGACGGCCCATGAGGCGCTACGAGGCCTCCAAGTCCCACCAGCCCTCTGGGCGTCGGTGGTTTAGGGCGTTTCCTCTTCCACCCCTCCCTCTTCCCCTTCGGGGAGGGGTTTACCCCTCCCCCTACCCCCTCCCCACAGACCTGGACAGGAGGGGCGGGGAGCGGTCAGAGCGTCCAAAACGGCCTCGGCGAGGAAGCCAAAATCATTGATTTTACTATGGTTTTGGCCCCATTTTGGCCTTCTGAGGGGGCAGCGCTAATTAGAGCTCCCCTCTTCTTTGCTCGATTTCCTCCACGATGGCCGCAAGAGGCCCCCAGGATGCCCCAAGAGGCCGCAGGATGGCCCCAAGATGGCCCCAAGAGGCCCCCCAAGAGGCCCCCAGGAGGCCCCCAAGAGACCCCCAAGAGGCTCCAAGAGACCCCCCAGAGGCACCCAAGGTGCTCCCAGAGGCCTTTTTACTATGGTTTGGGCCCCATTTTGGCCTTCTGAGGGGGCAAAGATGGCCCCAAGAAGCGCCCAGGAGGCCCCCAAAGGCCCCAAGATGGCCCCAAGAGGCCCCACGAGGCCCCCAGGAGGCCCCAAAGAGGATCCCGAACGGCCCACAGAGGCCCCCCCGAGGCACCCAAGACGCCGAAAAGCTCCTCAGGACGACCCTCTACTCGCCTGGGCGTCGTTTCTGGACAGGCTGGTGGGGATACGCGAAGCGTCTAGAATTCACCCAAGATGCCTCCAAGATGGCTCGAGAGGGCCCCAAGACGACCCAAGAGGGCCACAAAACAGCCCAGGAGGGCCTCAAGACGGCCCAAGAGAGCCCCGAGAGGATCCCCGAGAGGGCCTCAGGAGGCAAAATGTGCTGATTCCCGCTTGGTTGTTGAACGACTTTCGCGTTCTCGCGTTTTCGACCCAAGCCGACCCAAGAGGCTCTCAGGAAGGCCCAAATACGAGCCATGAGGGACCCAAGACGGCCCCAAGAGGCCCCCATAATAGCGCAAGAGGGCTCCAATTCGGCCCCAAGGGCCCCCCAACATGATTCAGACAGAGCCCCAAGACGGCCCGAAACCCCGAACATGGCCCTGGCGTAGCTCACGATGACCGCAGAAGAGCAAGACTGCCCAGTAGGTCCCCACGAGGGCCCAAAAGCGCCCCCACGAGGGTCGTCGGGGATCTTCTGACCCGGGTCAATCCAGACCCGGGTCAGCAGGAAACCAACAACTGAAATGCAGGAACAAAAAACTGCAACGCAGGTCTTCGCAAACCCGGGTCAGCCAATATGCGCGGCCGCCTCGCGGCCACGAGCGGCTCGCTAACCCGGGTCAGCCAGAGGGGGTCTTCGCAGGATCCTGCAGGATCTGGTGCCCTGGCTGACCCCCGTTTGCATTGACCCCCATCTCAAGGCTCCCGAGCGACGGTCGCAAGAGGCGCCAGAAACCGTGAGCGACGATCAAAAAGGAGTCTTGCGCGAGATGGCATGGCGACCCCACGCGGTGGCGTACGCTGGCCGCCAGCGCGGCACGCTGCATTGGAGACGAGGCCGCTCACGCGCGACCTCACGCGGGCAGCCAACACGCCAGTGGCGTCGCAGTCGATCCCGTTTGCGTTTGCGTTTGTCTCCCCCGTGAGAAGCGTGTCGTGCCAACGCGCTCCCAAAAAAACCTGCCATGGTCGGTCCCCCCGTCCTCGTCTTTGCTGTGCCTCTCCTGTTCCTCCTTGCGATCGCTCCTCCTCGTCATCATCACCATCATCGGCGTCATCATCACCATCAGTGTCATCATCATCATCATCATCATCATCATCATCATCATCATCATCATCATCACCATCAGCAGCATCATCACCACCATCATCCTCATCCTCCTCCTCCTCGTCCTCCTCCTCATCATCATCACCAGCATCCTCATCATCATCACCATCTTCCTCATCATCCTCATCAGCATCTTCATCATCGTCGTCATCATCATCGTCGTATGTTCCTAACGTGCATTATCATCCCCCGCCTCCTCGTCCTCCACCTCCACCTGCGCCTCCGCCTCCGCCTCCTCCTCCTCCTCCTCCTCCTCCTCCTCCTCCTCCTCCTCCTCCTCCTCCTCCTCCTCCCCCCCCACCACACGGCACGATCAACCTTCGACAAGCCAATCCATCTGGGCGTCGTTCCTCCTCCACTTCCTTCTCCTCCTCCTCCTTTTTCTCCTCATCCTTTTCCTCCTCTTCCTCCTCTTCCTCCTCCTCCTCTTCCTACTCATCCGCGTTCATTTCCCCACGCCCCTCCTCCTTATCACCCTTCTTCCTTCTCCTCATTCCATCTCGCACTAGGTCCGATCCCTCCTCCTCGCCCCCCCTCCTCCGTCCCATCCCCCGCCTCGTCCCGTTCCTCCTCCTCCTCCTCCTCATGTTCCTCCTCCTCCTCCTCATCATCATCAGCATCCTCATCATCACCATCACCATCATCGTCATCGCCATCACCATCGCAATCATCATCATCACAGCATCGTCATCATCATCATCATCATCATCATCATCATCATCATCATCAACATCATCATCAGCATCAGCATCATCGTCATCATCCTCATCCTCATCCTCATCCTCATCCTCATCCTAATCCTCATCCTCATCCTCATCCTCATCCTCATCCTCATCCTCATCCTCATCATCATCATCATCATCATCATCATCATCATCATCCCCGCCCACTCTTTCACCATACCAAATGTCACCCTCACCCCACTTGTTCCCTCCTTCATGCAAGCGCAATCTCCCAGTCTACGTCAGCGAGACGACAAACGATTCGAAGAAACTTACGCGGATCCTTTCGATGGGTTGCTCTTGAAGTTTTCGGACTGGGGACTCCAGACGCGCCCAAAGCCCTAAAGCCCTTCAGAAGGCCTGGCTGATTCCGCGGAAATGCCTTCTGGGCAGAAGCCCGCCAACCGCGCGCGTGCGCGGCTACGTACGGTGGCTTGCGGCCCACTCTGTCCGCAAGGGACATAGCAGCGTTGGCGAAATGGGCCATCAAAAACCAAGCAGGACTAGTTTGAGAGTAAAGGGATGGTCGATGTCAGGAAAATCAACGTACTCAGTACTGTCCGCTTCGAAATGCTCTGAGCCGAGAAGTACGAGTCCGTCCCCTTTCCCACCTCCCTTGGAGCATTGTGCTTGGAAATGTTTGTCGCTACCGCAGGAATTATATGTCATCTATTTTCCATGTTTACCCATTGGATTGAGCCTACGCCCCGTGCCCTTACCTGTTGTATGCCTACGACCTTTACCTCTACCTTTACCTCCTAGAAATAAGTCTTCCAAGTCGTTGTCGGTCAATCGAGCGAGAAGCGTGGCTATGCCTTTGCTATGCAATCTGCGGGTGCGTCTGCCACCTTTGCCGAAGAAGACACGGCGTACAGCTCGCCTGAATATCCTAACTGTTTTTTGTTGTCCCGTGTCGCCTCCACCTTCTTTTGGCGTGATGATAGCCTAGGTATAGGTATTGCGTGGCTGCGTCATCACCGGCGGGTAAGTCTGACCCAAGGAGGAGGAGGAGGAGGAGGAGGAGGAGGAGGAAGGGGAGGGAGGAGGAGGAGGAGGAGGAGGAGGAGGAGGGAGGAGGAGGAAGGAGGGGGCGGAGGAGGTGAGAGGAGGAGGAGGAAGGAGGAGGAGGAGGAGGGGAAGAAGAAGTCAGAAAAACGCCGCCCCCACTGAGGCCCTCCACCGGTCGATCCAGAGCCAAAGGCAGGGACACCCGAATCACATCACGCTGCACATTTCCGACGTGCACCGCGCGAAGTCTTCCTCGGAGGCAATCATGATGCCGAGAGGAATCCAGTCTCGCGGCTGTCCCGTCGCGAAGCCCCAGCCCGTCTTCTGCTCGGCGATCTTGGCCGAGATCAGCGTCTCGAGCACGGCCACGAAGGCGATGCCGAAGGCCGCAGTGAAGATGCCAAAGTAGTTGCCCTGCGCGTAAAACTCTAGGGACTGCTCTGGGGGGACGACGACCCTCGCCTTAAGCTCTCCGTACTTGTCCTTGAGCGTCGGGATGCGGATGCCGCCGAGGCTGTCCGAGTCGGAGAGGAAGCCGAGGAGGATCGTCAGGAGCGGGATGATCACCGTCCACGGGATCGGCTGGCCCTCGACCTTTGGGACCCACTTCACGAGAGAGAGGAGCAGCACCGCAAGGAACACGAAGGTGATGGCTGGCGCCCAGCTCAGCTCATCCAAGATCTTGAGGGACTCGATGACGTTCTCGGATAAGTGCTCATGCTTGGGGCCTACGGGATGCAAGTCGAAAGCCATGTTCAGCTGGTTCAGGCCAATGATGAGAGCGACGGCCAGGGTGAAGCCCTCGAAGACGGCCGTGGGCATCAGAAGCGAGTAACGCTGCAGGTTCAGCATGTAGATGACGAGGATCATGCAGGCCGAGAGGAGGGACAGGTACGGCAAGACCCCGATGCCGTTGTACTTGATCGTGTAAGTGGTAAGCATGCCACTCAGGGCACCAGCGGGCCCGACGATGTTGTGGTCGCTGGAGCCGAACAGTCCTGCACAGATGCCTCCCCAGAAGGCGGTGGCAACACCCATTGTCGGCGCGGCGGGGTCTGCGCCAGCTACCGACGCGATGCCGAGCGAGATCGAGAGCGGCACGCTGACCATCGCCACAGTGAGCGCCGCCTGCCAGTTCTCCATGAATACACGGTGGGCAGGCTTGACGCCAGTCATGGTTTTCAGCGAGAGCCTGCCCCCGATCTCGTCAGTGCCAGGGGCGGGCTTGTTGTCCTCAGGCACCCCTGCCACAGTCATCGCGGACCCACGAGGTGTGCGGAGGGGGTGGAAGATGCCTTGCGGGAACCAGCTGTCGCCTCTGCAAGCCTTGAGACTTGAGCCGAAACCTCATCGGACAAGAACGGGAAGCGCCGATGTTGTCCACTGGGCTCGTAGGGGTGAGGACGACGGCATGGCGGTGGCTGACGAGGATGATAGCATGGATGACGGGGAGGGTAGCGATGGGAGCAGGAGGACAGCGAGTGGGAAGACAAGCACGAGGACAAGGAGAAAAATATGGAGGAGGACGAATACGAGGAGGAATGAAGCGGAGGAGGAGGAAGAAGAGGAGAAGGAGGAGGGGGAGGAGGAGAAGAAGGACGACGATGACGAAGTAGGACGGTAAGGAGCACGAGTAAGAGGACGTCGAAGAAGCGGGGGGGCCGGGCCGGTCTTTGAGCTGCCTGGGGCTTGTTGGGGCATCGGGGCTATGGTCGGCATGTATGGGGCCTCTTAGAGGGCTGTCGGGATCCTCTTAGGGGCTTATTGGGTTTCTTGTGCTTGCTGGGCGTAGCTACGGTTCTGTGGAGGCTCTCCTCAGGCCGTCTCTGGCGCCATCTGGGGCCTGTTCATGGGTCTCTTAGGCGGGCCTCTGGGGACCACTCTTTCGGGGGTCCTCAGGGGGGCTTTGAGGTTTTCGGCCACGTGGTCCCATACAAGAGCGATTTTCCAAGACGCGTTGTCGGGCATCTCAGAAGCCCAGTGTCGAGGATGTCCCAAGCGAAACGGCCCTGTTTTCAGAAACCTCACACCAGACCAACGGGAAGCACCAGTTCTGTAAGCTTGCGTTGCGCCACGCGGAATGGATCAGGCCACCAACACGCATCAGGCATAAAAGGGGGCACTGCGGGCTCCAAGAATACCGAGTGGTTGCCATTGTGTTTAATGGTCGCCTGCAGTTGCGCATGTTCTGTGTACGCGCGTATGTATGTGTGTATGTATGTGTATGTGTCTGTGCCTGTGTCTGTGTCATTGTCTGTGTCTGTGTCTGTGTCTGTGTCTGTGTCTGTGTCTGTGTCTGTGTCTGTGTCTGTGTCTGTGTCTGTGTCTGTGTCTGTGTCTGTGTCTGCGCGTGTGTATGTGCATGTGTATGTGTATGTGTATGTGATGTGTATGTATGTGTATGTGTGTATATGAATGTATGTGTGTATGTGTGTATGCGTGTATGCGTGTATGCGTGTATGTGTGTACGTGTATATATGTATATGTGTGTCCATGTGTGTCTATGTGTATATTGTGTATATGCATATGTGTAGATGTGTGTATGCGTATGTGTAAGTATGTGCATATGTGTGTACATGTGTGTATGAGTGTCTTTGTGTGTATGTGTGTATGTGTATATGTGTATGTGTATGTGTGTGTATGTGAGTATGTGTGTATGTATGTGTATGTGTATGTGCATGTGTGTATGTGTGTATGTGTGTATGTGTGTATGTGTGTATGTGTGTATGTGTGTATGTGTGTATGTGTGTGTGTGTCTGTGTATGTGTGCATGTGTGTATGTGTGAATGTATGTTTGTATGTGTCTTCCCCAATCAGAGCTTGCCTCTGTAGGGGTCCGAGCGGATTCGCATGATTAGGTTGATTAGCTGTGGCGCAATTTCGGCTGCACGCCTGGGTGCCCGGGTGCCCGGGAGGGGCTTCCCTGGCTCAACGCAACTCAGTGAGGCGAGCGTGAAACCGTTACGCATACCCCTTGAATTGTGCAGTTCAAAACGCGTGAGCCCGATGGTGGGGAAGTGGTGGGGGGGGAAAAAAAAAAAAAAAGCGAGAGCCGCATGGAGGAGAGAGAGGGAGCAAACGCCTGCAAATACCTGCGCACAGGCCTCTTGAGTACCGTGTGGCTGATGACACCTCACGAAACAAGGAATCGCGGGGAAGAGACCCCACATATCCTGAAACGCATCTGTCTGACCAATAAATGACGGCAGAGGTATCGCAAAAGCACTGCATAACGCCTGCCAAGAAGGGAGAAAGCCCCTGACGCTGCCTACCTAGAGGCAGCACGACGGCGGGACGAACGTCAGCGTGGGAAAGAAACTCCATCAGGCTGGTGAGGACAAACCTCGTGCTAGCACGCGATGCAATCAATACAGGCAGCATGCAGATCCGTGTCGCGTGCCTGCGGATTGGGACTTGTCAAAATGAAGGGGCCCTGGGACACACAAATAAATATACAAATAATAGGATTCCCCATATGTTCCCACATTTTCTGGGTTTTTGTCTTCCCCCCTACTTCCCATATTTTCCCATATGTTCTGGGGAATCGTCGATTAATTGTGTGTGTGTTTTCCCCTCCTGTTAAAAGCGGGGCAAGCACGCCCTGTGAGGCCAGACAGGGCTAAACGCCCGGCAAGCGTCCGGCATGTTCGGCGGATCGGCCGCGCTCTGTGGCGCCACAGGACAGCGCCAACAACCCCAAAAAGTAGACCAACGCGCAGCAGCGAGTCGCAACGACGCGAAACTGCTGCCCCAGTTTTCCCTTTCCCTCGCTCGGCCCTCATGCCGCCCGCTTCGCCTTGACGTCCACTTGGCTCTTCGACACTGCCTACGCACCCCTCTGCGCTGTCGGCGCGACTGGATCAGAAGACTAGCGGAGGTCGACCCTTGCGGCCAGCAGTGTTCACGCTTTCGACGAGCTCGTGGCGGCCTGTGCTGCGCGCAGCGCATCGAGGCGACGACGATGCACGTGACCAGCGGCCCGGAGCCCCTCGACCCAGGCGGCCTTGCCCGCAACGGTGCTCTCGAGGGCAGCACGCAGGCACAGCTCCACACGCAGGCCCTTCTCCACGATCTGCTTCACGGTCTTGCCCAGGGAGTCCGAGCCGTCCTTGTCGACGCGGGACGTCAGGTCCAAGGAAACCACGATGGCCTTGGGCTGGCGCTCGAGCAGGACCTTCAGGCGCGCCTGGTGCTTCTCCTGGGTCAGGTAGACGAAGGGGCCAACCGGCTCGTACACCACGACGCACTCGCTGGCCTTATCAAGGACGTTCCCATCAGAATGATGCACTCGCTGGCTTCTCCTCGAAGACTCCGCCAGCGACCCCAGGATCGCCGCCGCGGGTGACGGCCTCAGCAACAGCCGAGAATCGTGGTGGTCCACCTCGACCGTGCAAGTTGCCATCATGCTCGGATGCTGATCGCTCTGCTCGCTGCGCATGACCTGCTTCTCACCCACCCTGCTCGAGGTCATGCCCGGATGCTCGTCACCCCCCTCGGTGACGACGACCTGCCTCACCTGGTTCTCCTCGTCGGCCCCCGAGTAGAGCGACAAACGGGACTCGGCGAGCGCCGTCTGGGAAGCGTCGCGAAGCAAGGCGAAGACCATGCCCAGAATCAGGCCGTAGACAGGGTCCGTGAAGACGCAGATCAGGCAGGTGAACACCAGGAGGCCGAGCCCGCCCTTGTCCGTCTTCCAGAGATTGACCATGTAGCGGACCGGGGCCATGCGGACGGAGGCGAAGATGAGAAGCGCGGCCACCGAGCACTGCGGCAGGTACGAGAAGACGGGCATGGCAACCACGGAGATTACGAGCACCGCGAGAGCGTTGATGACCTGCGACATCTTGTGGGTGGCACCCAGCGAGAAATTCAGGGCCGTCCTCACAAAGACGCCTGTGGGAGGCATGGCGCCTACCGCACCGCAGACCGCGTGACAGATCATGATACCGAGCGTCTCGCGGCTGTCATCGAAGCCCCAGCCCGTCTTCTGCTCGGCGATCTTGGCCGAGATCAGCGTCTCGAGCACGGCCACGAAGGCGATGCCGAAGGCCGCAGTGAAGATGCCAAAGTAGTTACCCTGCGCGTAAAACTCCAGGGGCTGCTCTGGGGGGACGACGACCCTCGCCTTAAGCTCTCCGTACTTGTCCTTGAGCGTCGGGATGCGGATGCCGCCGAGGCTGTCCGAGTCGGAGAGGAAGCCGAGGAGGATCGTCAGGAGCGGGATGATCACCGTCCACGGGATCGGCTGGCCCTTGACCTTTGGGACCCACTTCACGAGAGAGAGGAGAAGCACCGCAAGGAACACGAAGGTGATGGCCGGCGCCCAGCTCAGCTCATCCAAGATCTTGAGGGACTCGATGACGTTCTCATAGAAGTTCGGGTGCTGCTAGAAGTGCCCCTGGCCCAGAATGCCCCCAGCTTTTCGCTCAATCTTGGAGCCCCTGGGGCCCTCTGAGCCTCGTGAGGGGCGCTCTGGAGGCCGTAGGGGGCCTCCTTGGAAATCCCGGGAGCACCCTGGGCCAGGGGAACCTCTAGCAACACCCGAGAAGTGCTCATGCTTGGGGCCTACGGGATGCAAGTCGAAAGCCATGTTCAGCTGGTTCAGGCCAATGATGAGAGCGACGGCCAGGGTGAAGCCCTCGAAGACGGCCGTGGGCATCAGAAGCGAGTAACGCTGCAGGTTCAGCATGTAGATGACGAGGATCATGCAGGCCGAGAGGAGGGACAGGTACGGCAAGACCCCGATGCCGTTGTACTTGATCGTGTAGGTGGTAAGCATGCCACTCAGGGCACCAGCGGGCCCGACGATGTTGTGGTCGCTGGAGCCGAACAGTCCTGCACAGATGCCTCCCCAGAAGGCGGTGGCAACACCCATTGTCGGCGCGGCGGGGTCTGCGCCAGCTACCGACGCGATTGCCCGAGGTGAGATCGAGAGCGGACGCGGACACGCCACGGGTGAGCGCCGCATGCCAGTCTCTCAATGAAGACACGGTGGGCAGGGCTTGACGCTCAGTCAATGGTTTTCAGCGAGAGCCTGCACCCGAGCTCGTCAGTGCCAGGGGCGGCGTTGTTGTTCCTTCAGGCACCTCTCCACAGTCCATCGCCGGGACCGACGCAGGTGGGCTGGATTGGGGAGGGTGAAGGGTGGCACTTGTGGGACAAGCTGCTGAGAACTGCGAACAGCTTCGGGACCCCTCGAAACCTAGCGACGACATGCCCCCCCTCCTCCCCCCCCGCCCCCCCCGGAAGCGCCGATGTTGTCCACTGGGCTCGTAGGGGTGAGGACGACGGCAAGGCGGTGGCTGACGAGGATGATAGCATGGATGACGGGGAGGGTAGCGATGGGAGCAGGAGGACAGCGAGTGGGAAGACCAGCACGAGGACGAGGAGGAAAATATGGAGGAGGACGAATACGAGGAGGAATGAAGCGGAGGAGGAAGAAGAGAAGGAGGAGGGGGAGGAGGAGAAGGACGACGATGACGAAGTAGGACGGTAAGGAGCACGAGTAAGAGGACGTCGAAGAAGCGAGGGGGCCGTGATCTTTTGAGGCTGCCCTGGGGGCTGTTGGGGCCATCTGGGGCTATGTTTGGGCTTCGTGGGGGCCTCTTAGAGGGCTGTCGGGGTCCTCTTAGGGGGCTACCTACTGGGGTCTTCTTGGGCTGTCTGGGCGTGGCTTACGGTTCTGTGGAGGCTCTCTGAGGCCGTCTTGGCGCCATCTGGGGCTGTCCTAGGTCTCTTCGGGGGCCTCTTGGGACACTCTTTTGGGGTCCTCCGGGGGGCTTTGAGGGTTCTTCTGGGCCACGGTGGTCCCCTCCAAGAGCGATTCCAAGACGGCGTTGCTTCGGAGCCTCCTCCGGAGCCAGTTGTTCGAGGATGTCCCGAGCGAAACGGTCATTTTCAGAAACCTACCCGGACAAACGGGAAGCACCGTTTCTGTAAGCTTGCGCGCGCACGCGCGCATGGATCAGCACCCAACACGCATGGGCACAAATGGGGTGCACTCGCGGGCTTCCCCAAAATATCCGAGTGGTTGCCATTGTGTTTAATGGTCGCCTGCGGTTGCGCATGTTCTGTGTACGCGCGTATGTTATGTGTGTATGTATGTGTATGTGTCTGTGTCTGTGTCTGTGTCTGTGTCATTGTCTGTGTCTGTGTCTGTGTCTGTGTCTGTGTCTGTGTCTGCGTGTGTGTAGGTGCATGTGTATGTGCATATGTATGTTATGTGTATGTATGTGTATGTGTATGTGTATGTGTATGTGTATATGACTGTATGTGGGTATATGTGTATATGTGTGTATGCGTGTATGCGTGTATGCGTGTATATGTGTACGTGTGAATATGTATATGTGTGCCCATGTGTGTCTGTGTATATTGTGTATATGTCATATGTGTAGATGTGTCTATGCGTATGTGTAAATATGTGCATATGTGTGTACATGTGTGTATGAGTGCCTTTTTGTGTATGTGTGTATGAATATATGTGTATGTGTATGTGTGTGCATGTGAGTACGTGTGTGTGAATGTATATGTGTATGTGCACGTGTGTATGTGTACCTGTGTATGTGTGTATGTGTGTATGTGTGAATGTGTGTGTGTCTGTGTATGTGTGCATGTGTGTATGTGTGAATGTGTGTATGTTTGTATGTGCGTTCCCCAATCAGAGCTTGCCTCTGTAGGGGTCCTAGCGGATTCGAATGGTTAGGCGAATTAGCTGTGGCGCGATTTCGACGCCTGGGTGCCCGGGTGCCCCGGAGGGGCTTCCCTGGCTCAACGCAACTCAGTGAGGCGAGCGTGAAACCGTTACGCATACCCCTTGAATTGCGCAGTTCAAAACGCGTGAGCCCGATGGTGGGGAAGGAAAGCGAGAGACGCATGGAGGAGAGAAAAAGGGAGCAACGCCTGCAAATACCGCGCACAGGCCTCCTTGAGACCGGGTGGCTGATGACCACTCACGAACAAGGAATCGCGGGGAAGAGACCCCACATATCCTGAAACGCATCTGTCTGACCAATAAATGACGGCAGAGGCATCGCAAAAGCGCTGCAGAACGCCTGCCAAGGAGGGAGAAAGCCCCTGACGCTGCCTACCTAGAGGCAGCACGACAGCGGGACGAACGTTAGCGTGGGAAAGAAACTCCCCCAGGCTGGTGAGGACAAACCTCGTGCTAGCACGCGATGCTATCAATACAGGCAGCAGATCCGCGTCGCGTGCCTGCGGATTGAGACTTGTCAAAATGAAGGGGCCCTGGGACACACAAATAAATACACACTAATGACAGGATTCCCCATATGTTCCCACATTTTCTGGGTTTTTGTCATCCCCCCCACTTCCCATATTTTCCCATATGTTCTGGGGAATCGTCGATTAATTGCGTGTGTTTTCCCCTCCTGTTAAAAGCGGGGCAGGCACGCCCTGTGAGGCCAGACAGGGCTAAACGCCCGGCAAGCGTCCGGCATGTTCGGCGGATCGGCCGCGCTCTGTGGCGCCACAGGACAGCGCCAACAACCCCAAAAAGTAGACCAACGCGCAGCAGCGAGTCGCAACGACGCGAAACTGCTGCCCCAGTTTTCCCTCGGCCCTCATGCCGCCCGCTTCGCCTTGACGTCCACTTGGCTCTTCGACACTGCCTACGTACGCACCCCTCCGCGCTGTCCGCGCGACTGGATCAGAAGACTAGCGGAGGTCGACCCTTGCGGCCGGCAGTGTTCACGCTTTCGACGAGCTCGTGGCGGCCTGTGCTGCGCGCAGCGCATCGAGGCGACGACGATGCACGTGACCGGCGGCCCGGAGCCCCTCGACCCAGGCGGCCTTGCCCGCAACGGTGCTCTCGAGGGCAGCAGGCAGGCACAGCTCCACTCGCAGGCCCTTCTCCACGATCTGCTTCACGGTCTTGCCCAGGGAGTCCGAGCCGTCCTTGTCGACGCGGGACGTCAGGTCCAGGGAAACCACGATGGCCTTGGGCTGGCGCTCGAGCAGGACCTTTAGGCGCGCCTGGTGCTTCTCCTGGGTCAGGTAGACGAAGGGGCCAACCGGCTCGTACACCACGACGCACTCGCTGGCCTTATCAAGGACGTTCCCATCAGAATGATGCACTCGCTGGCTTCTCCTCGAAGACTCCGCCAGCGACCCCAAGATCGCCGCCGCGGGTGACGGCCTCAGCAACAGCCGAGAATCGCGGTGGTCCACCTCGACCGTGCAAGTTGCCGTCATGCTCGGATGCTGATCGCTCTGCTCGCTGCGCATGACCTGCTTCTCACCCACCCTGCTCGAGGTCATAGCCCGGATGACTCGTCACCCCCCCGGTGCGACGACCTGCTTCACCTGGTTCTCCTCGTCGGCCCCGAGAGAGCGACAAACGGGACTCGGCGGAGTCGCCTGTTCTGGGAGGCGTCGCGAAAGCGCGGGCGAGACCATTGCCCAGTAAATCAGGCGGTAGACAGTGTTCCGTGAAGAAGCAGATCAGGCAGTGTGTAAACACCAGGAGGCCGAGCCCGCCCTTGTCCGTCTTCCAGAGATTGACCATGTAGCGGACCGGGGCCATGCGGACGGAGGCGAAGATGAGAAGCGCAGCCACCGAGCACTGCGGCAGGTACGAGAAGACGGGCATGGCAACCACGGAGATTACGAGCACCGCGAGAGCGTTGATGACCTGCGACATCTTGTGGGTGGCACCCAGCGAGAAGTTCAGGGCCGTCCTCACAAAGACGCCTGTGGGAGGCATGGCGCCTACCGCACCGCAGACCGCGTGACAGATCATGATACCGAGCGTCTCGCGGCTGTCATCGAAGCCCCAGCCCGTCTTCTGCTCGGCGATCTTGGCCGAGATCAGCGTCTCGAGCACGGCCACGAAGGCGATGCCGAAGGCCGCAGTGAAGATGCCAAAGTAGTTGCCCTGCGCGTAAAACTCTAGGGACTGCTCTGGGGGGACGACGACCCTCGCCTTAAGCTCTCCGTACTTGTCCTTGAGCGTCGGGATGCGGATGCCGCCGAGGCTGTCCGAGTCGGAGAGGAAGCCGAGGAGGATCGTCAGGAGCGGGATGATCACCGTCCACGGGATCGGCTGGCCCTCGACCTTTGGGACCCACTTCACGAGAGAGAGGAGCAGCACCGCAAGGAACACGAAGGTGATGGCTGGCGCCCAGCTCAGCTCATCCAAGATCTTGAGGGACTCGATGACGTTCTCATAGAAGTTCGGGTGCTGCTAGAAGTGCCCCTGGCCCAGAGTGCCCCCAGCTTTTCGCTCAATCTTGGAGCCCCTGGGGCCCTCGGAGCCTCGTGAGAGTGCCCGCCCCCCGGCCTTGGGGGGGCCTCCTGGGAAAATCACGGGGGAGACACCTGGGCCCAGGGGGAACCTACAGCAACCCCTTCTCCCGAGAAGTGCTCATGCTGGGGGCCTACGGGATGCAAGTCGAACGCATGTTCAGCCTGGTTCAGGCCAAATGATGAGAGCGACGGCCAGGGGGGCCTGGTGAAGCCCTCCGAAGACGATGATCGGGAATCAGAGCGAGTAGTAACGCTTGCAGGGGTGCAGTATGTAGTATGACGAAGGATTCATTGGCAGCCGAGAGGAGGGACAGGTACGGCAAGACCCCGATGCCGTTTGTACGTGATCGCTGTAAGTGGTTAAGCATGTCATCAGGGCCCAGTCGGGCCCGGAGACGATGTTGTGCGTCGCTGGAGCCGAACAGTCCTGCACAGATGCCTCCCCAGAAGGCGGTGGCAACACCCATTGTCGGCGCGGCGGGGTCTGCGCCAGCTACCGACGCGATGCCGAGCGAGATCGAGAGCGGCACGCTGACCATCGCCACGGTGAGCGCCGCCTGCCAGTTCTCCATGAAGACACGGTGGGCAGGCTTGACGCCAGTCATGGTTTTCAGCGAGAGCCTGCCCCCGATCTCGTCAGTGCCAGGGGCGGGCTTGTTGTCCTCAGGCACCTCTGCCACAGTCATCGCGGACCGACGAGGTGTGCGGAGGGGGTGGAAGCTGCCTTGTGGGAACAAGCTGTCGCCTCTGCAAGCCTTGAGACTTGAGCCGAAACCTCATCGGACAAGAACGGGAAGCGCCGATGTTGTCCACTGGGCTCGTAGGGGTGAGGACGACGGCAAGGCGGTGGCTGACGAGGATGATAGCATGGATGACGGGGAGGGTAGCGATGGGAGCAGGAGGACAGCGAGTGGGAAGACAAGCACGAGGACAAGGAGAAAAATATGGAGGAGGACGAATACGAGGAGGAATGAAGCGGAGGAGGAGGAAGAAGAGGAGAAGGAGGAGGGGGAGGAGGAGAAGAAGGACGACGATGACGAAGTAGGACGGTAAGGAGCACGAGTAAGAGGACGTCGAAGAAGCGGGGGGGCCGTGTTCTTTTGAGGCTGCCCTGGGGGCTGTTGGGGCCATCTGGGGCTATGTTCGGGCATCGTAGGGGCCTCTTAGAGGGCTGTCGGGATCCTCTTAGGGGGCTACTGGGGTCTTCTTGGGCTGCCTGGGCGTCGCCTACGGTTCTGTGGAGGCTCTCTCAGGCCGTCTTGGCGCCATCTTGGGCTGTCCTGGGTCTCTTAGGGGGCCTCTTGGGACACTCTTTCGGGGTCCTCCGGGGGGGCTTTGAGGGTTCTTCTGGGCCACGGTGGTCCCCTCCAAGAGCGATTCCAAGACGGCGTTGCTTCGGAGCCTCCTCCGGAGCCAGTTGTTCGAGGATGTCCCAAGCGAAACGGCCATTTTCAGAAACCTACCCAGACAAACGGGAAGCACCATTTCTGTAAGCTTGCGTGCGCACGCGCGCATGGATCAGCACCCAACACGCATAGGCATAAATGGGGTGCACTCGCGGGCTTCCAAGAATATCCGAGTGGTTGCCATTGTGTTTAATGGTCGCCTGCAGTTGCGCATGTTCTGTGTACGCGCGTATGTATGTGTGTATGTATGTGTATGTGTCTGTGCCTGTGTCTGTGTCATTGTCTGTGTCTGTGTCTGTGTCTGTGTCTGTGTCTGTGTCTGTGTCTGTGTCTGTGTCTGTGTCTGTGTCTGTGTCTGTGTCTGTGTCTGCGTGTGTGTATGTGCATGTGTATGTGTATGTGTATGTGATGTGTATGTATGTGTATGTGTGTATATGAATGTATGTGTGTATGTGTGTATGCGTGTATGCGTGTATGCGTGTATGTGTGTACGTGTATATATGTATATGTGTGTCCATGTGTGTCTATGTGTATATTGTGTATATGCATATGTGTAGATGTGTGTATGCGTATGTGTAAGTATGTGCATATGTGTGTAATGTGTGTATGAGTGTCTTTGTGTGTATGTGTGTATGTGTATATGTATATGTGTATGTGTGTATGTGAGTATGTGTGTATGTATGTGTATGTGTATGTGCATGTGTGTATGTGTGTATGTGTATGTGTGTATGTGTGTATGTGTGTATGTGTGTATGTGTGTGTGTGTCTGTGTATGTGTGCATGTGTGTATGTGTGAATGTGTGTATGTTTGTATGTGTGTTCCCCAATCAGAGCTTGCCTCTGTAGGGGTCCTAGCGGATTCGCATGGTTAGGTTGATTAGCTGTGGCGCAATTTCGGATGCACGCCTGGGTGCCCGGGTGCCCGGGAGGGGCTTCCCTGGCTCAACGCAACTCAGTGAGGCGAGCGTGAAACCGTTACGCATACCCCTTGAATTGTGCAGTTCAAAACGCGTGAGCCCGATGGTGGGGAAGGAAAGCGAGAGCCGCATGGAGGAGAGAAGAAGGGAGCAACGCCTGCAAATACCGCGCACAGGCCTCCTTGAGACCGGGTGGCTGATGACCACTCACGAACAAGGAATCGCGGGGAAGAGACCCCACAAATCCGAAACGCATCTGTCCTGACCAATAAATGACGCAGAGGTTAAAATCGCCAAAAGCCGGTTCGCAGAACGCCTGCCAAGGAAGGGAGAAAGCCCCTGACTCGCTGCCTACCTAGAGGCAAGCACGACGGCGGGAACGAACGTTAGCGTGGGAAAGAAACTCCCTCAGAGGCGGTGAGGACAAACCTCGTGCTAGCACGCGAATGCAATCACATACAGGCGGTAGATCCGTGTCGCTTCTGCGGATTGGTACTTGTCAAAATGAAGGGGCCACTTGGACACACAAATAAATCACACACAAATAAAAGGATTCCCCTAAGTTCCCACATTTTCTGGGTTTTTGTCTTCCCCCCTACTTCCCATATTTTCCCATATGTTCTGGGGAATCGTCGATTAATTGTGTGTGTGTTTTCCCCTCCTGTTAAAAGCGGGGCAAGCACGCCCTGTGAGGCCAGACAGGGCTAAACGCCCGGCAAGCGTCCGGCATGTTCGGCGGATCGGCCGCGCTCTGTGGCGCCACAGGACAGCGCCAACAACCCCAAAAAGTAGACCAACGCGCAGCAGCGAGTCGCAACGACGCGAAACTGCTGCCCCAGTTTTCCCTCGCTCGGCCCTCATGCCGCCCGCTTCGCCTTGACGTCCACTTGGCTCTTCGACACTGCCTACGCACCCCTCTGCGCTGTCGGCGCGACTGGATCAGAAGACTAGCGGAGGTCGACCCTTGCGGCCAGCAGTGTTCACGCTTTCGACGAGCTCGTGGCGGCCTGTGCTGCGCGCAGCGCATCGAGGCGACGACGATGCACGTGACCAGCGGCCCGGAGCCCCTCGACCCAGGCGGCCTTGCCCGCAACGGTGCTCTCGAGGGCAGCACGCAGGCACAGCTCCACTCGCAGGCCCTTCTCCACGATCTGCTTCACGGTCTTGCCCAGGGAGTCCGAGCCGTCCTTGTCGACGCGGGACGTCAGGTCCAGGGAAACCACGATGGCCTTGGGCTGGCGCTCGAGCAGGACCTTCAGGCGCGCCTGGTGCTTCTCCTGGGTCAGGTAGACGAAGGGGCCAACCGGCTCGTACACCACGACGCACTCGCTGGCCTTATCAAGGACGTTCCCATCAGAATGATGCACTCGCTGGCTTCTCCTCGAAGACTCCGCCAGAGACCCCAGGATCGCCGCCGCGGGTGACGGCCTCAGCAACAGCCGAGAATCGTGGTGGTCCACCTCGACAGTGCAAGTTGCCGTCATGCTCGGATGCTGATCGCTCTGCTCGCTGCGCATGACCTGCTTCTCACCCACCATGCTCGAGGTCATGCCCGGATGCTCGTCACCCCCCTCGGTGACGACGACCTGCCTCACCTGGTTCTCCTCGTCGGCCCCCGAGTAGAGCGACAAACGGGACTCGGCGAGCGCCGTCTGGGAGGCGTCGCGAAGCAAGGCGAAGACCATGCCCAGAATCAGGCCGTAACAGGGTCCGTGAAGACGCAGATCATGCAGTGAACACCAGGAGCCGAGCCGCCTTGGACCGCTCTCCAGAGATGGAACCATGTAGCGGACCGGCCAAATGCGGACGGAGGCGAAAGAGTTGAAGCGCGGCCACCAGACACTGCGGCAAGGTAACGAGAAAGAACGGCATGGCAAACCACGGAGAATTAGCGAGCACCGCGAGACGTTTGATGACCTGCGACATCTGTTGGGTGGCACCCAGCGAAGAAATTCCAGGCCGTCCTCACAAAGACGCCTGTGGGAGGCATGGCGCCTACCGCACCGCAGACCGCGTGACAGATCATGATACCGAGCGTCTCGCGGCTGTCATCGAAGCCCCAGCCCGTCTACTGCTCGGCGATCTTGGCCGAGATCAGCGTCTCGAGCACGCCACGAAGGCGACTGCCGAAGGCCGCAGTGAAGATGCCAAAGTAGTTACCCTGCGCGTAAAACTCCAGGGCTTGCGCTGGGGGACACGAACCCTCGCCTTCCGCCTCCGTACTTGTCCTTGAGCGTCGGGAATGCGGAAATGCCGCCGATGCTTCCGAGTCGAGAGGAACCGAGAGGATCGTCAGGAGCGGATAGATTCCACCGACCACGGAATCGGCTGCCCTTGACCCTTTGGGACCCACTTTTTCACGAGAGAGAGGAAGAACACCGCTAGGAACACGAAGGTGATGGCCGGCGCCCAGCTCAGCTCATCCAAGATCTTGAGGGACTCGATGACGTTCTCATAGAAGTTCGGGTGCTGCTAGAAGTGCCCCTGGCCCAGAGTGCCCCCAGCTTTTCGCTCAATCTTGGAGCCCCTGGGGCCCTAGGAGCCTCGTGAGGGCGCTCCTGGAGGCCGTAGCGGCCTCCTTGGAAATCCCGGAGCACCCTGATCCAGGGAACGCTAGCAAACCCGAGAAGTGCTCATGCTTGGGGCCTACCCCCCCACCTACCGGGATCAATAGAAAGCCAATGTTCAGACTGGTTTAGGCCAATGAATGAGAGCGACGGCCCAGGGTGAAGCCCTCGAAAGGCCGTGGGCATCAAAGCGTAGTAACGCTGCAGTTCAGCTTGTAGATGAACGAGATCATGCAGGCCGAAGGAGGGACAGGTACTGCAAGACCCCCATGCCAAGCACTGACGTGTAGGTGTAAGCATATGCACTCAGGCACCCAAGCGCACGACGAATGTTGTGGTCCGCTGGAGCCGAACAGATCCTGCACAGATGCCTCCCCAGAAGGCGGTGGCAACAACCATTGTCGCGCGGCGGGTCGCGCCACTACCGACGCGATGCCGAGTGAGATCGAAGCGGCAACGCTGACCATCGCCACGGTGAGCGCCGCCTGCCAGTTCTCCATGAAGACACGGTGGGCAGGCTTGACGCCAGTCATGGTTTTCAGCGAGAGCCTGCCCCCGATCTCGTCAGTGCCAGGGGCGGGCTTGTTGTCCTCAGGCACCTCTGCCACAGTCATCGCGGACCGACGAGGTGTGCGGAGGGGGTGGAAGCTGCCTTGTGGGAACAAGCTGTCGCCTCTGCAAAACTTGAGACTTGAGCCGAAACCTCATCGGACAAGAACGGGAAGCGCCGATGTTGTCCACTGGGCTCGTAGGGGTGAGGACGACGGCAAGGCGGTGGCTGACGAGGATGATAGCATGGATGACGGGGAGGGTAGCGATGGGAGCAGGAGGACAGCGAGTGGGAAGACCAGCACGAGGACGAGGAGGAAAATATGGAGGAGGACGAATACGAGGAGGAATGAAGCGGAGGAGGAAGAAGAGAAGGAGGAGGGGGAGGAGGAGAAGGACGACGATGACGAAGTAGGACGGTAAGGAGCACGAGTAAGAGGACGTCGAAGAAGCGAGGGGGCCGTGATCTTTTGAGGCTGCCCTGGGGGCTGTTGGGGCCATCTGGGGCTATGTTTGGGCTTCGTGGGGGCCTCTTAGAGGGCTGTCGGGGTCCTCTTAGGGGGCTACCTACTGGGGTCTTCTTGGGCTGTCTGGGCGTGGCTTACGGTTCTGTGGAGGCTCTCTGAGGCCGTCTTGGCGCCATCTGGGGCTGTCCTAGGTCTCTTCGGGGGCCTCTTGGGACACTCTTTTGGGGTCCTCCGGGGGGCTTTGAGGGTTCTTCTGGGCCACGGTGGTCCCCTCCAAGAGCGATTCCAAGACGGCGTTGCTTCGGAGCCTCCTCCGGAGCCAGTTGTTCGAGGATGTCCCGAGCGAAACGGTCATTTTCAGAAACCTACCCGGACAAACGGGAAGCACCGTTTCTGTAAGCTTGCGCGCGCACGCGCGCATGGATCAGCACCCAACACGCATGGGCACAAATGGGGTGCACTCGCGGGCTTCCCCAAAATATCCGAGTGGTTGCCATTGTGTTTAATGGTCGCCTGCGGTTGCGCATGTTCTGTGTACGCGCGTATGTTATGTGTGTATGTATGTGTATGTGTCTGTGTCTGTGTCTGTGTCTGTGTCATTGTCTGTGTCTGTGTCTGTGTCTGTGTCTGTGTCTGTGTCTGCGTGTGTGTAGGTGCATGTGTATGTGCATATGTATGTTATGTGTATGTATGTGTATGTGTATGTGTATGTGTATGTGTATATGACTGTATGTGGGTATATGTGTATATGTGTGTATGCGTGTATGCGTGTATGCGTGTATATGTGTACGTGTGAATATGTATATGTGTGCCCATGTGTGTCTGTGTATATTGTGTATATGTCATATGTGTAGATGTGTCTATGCGTATGTGTAAATATGTGCATATGTGTGTACATGTGTGTATGAGTGCCTTTTTGTGTATGTGTGTATGAATATATGTGTATGTGTATGTGTGTGCATGTGAGTACGTGTGTGTGAATGTATATGTGTATGTGCACGTGTGTATGTGTACCTGTGTATGTGTGTATGTGTGTATGTGTGAATGTGTGTGTGTCTGTGTATGTGTGCATGTGTGTATGTGTGAATGTGTGTATGTTTGTATGTGCGTTCCCCAATCAGAGCTTGCCTCTGTAGGGGTCCTAGCGGATTCGAATGGTTAGGCGAATTAGCTGTGGCGCGATTTCGACGCCTGGGTGCCCGGGTGCCCCGGAGGGGCTTCCCTGGCTCAACGCAACTCAGTGAGGCGAGCGTGAAACCGTTACGCATACCCCTTGAATTGCGCAGTTCAAAACGCGTGAGCCCGATGGTGGGGAAGGAAAGCGAGAGACGCATGGAGGAGAGAAAAAGGGAGCAACGCCTGCAAATACCGCGCACAGGCCTCCTTGAGACCGGGTGGCTGATGACCACTCACGAACAAGGAATCGCGGGGAAGAGACCCCACATATCCTGAAACGCATCTGTCTGACCAATAAATGACGGCAGAGGTATCGCAAAAGCGCTGCAGAACGCCTGCCAAGGAGGGGGAAAGCCCCTGACGCTGCCTACCTAGAGGCAGCACGACGGCGGGACGAACGTTAGCGTGGGAAAGAAACTCCCCCAGGCTGGTGAGGACAAACCTCGTGCTAGCACGCGATGCTATCAATACAGGCAGCAGATCCGCGTCGCGTGCCTGCGGATTGAGACTTGTCAAAATGAAGGGGCCCTGGGACACACAAATAAATACACACTAATGACAGGATTCCCCATATGTTCCCACATGTTCTGGGTTTTTGTCATCCCCCCCACTTCCCATATTTTCCCATATGTTCTGGGGAATCGTCGATTAATTGTGCGTGTTTTCCCCTCCTGTTAAAAATAAAAAAAAAAAAAAAAAAAAAAAAAAAAAAACAAGAAAATAAAAAAACAAAAAAAAAAAAAAAAAGAAAAAAAAAAAAAAAAAAAAGAAAAAAAAAAAAATAAAAAAAAAAAAAAAAAAAAAAAAAAAAAGCGGGGCAAGGCACGCCCTGTGAGGCCAGACAGGGTAAAACCGCCCGGCAAAGCGTCCGGCAATGATCGGCGGATCGCCGCGCTCTGTGGCGCCACAGGACAGCGCCAACCAACACCCAAAAAAGTAGAACCCAACGCGCAGCACAGCGAGCGCACGACGCCGAAAATCTGCCAGTTTTCCCTCGGCCTCATGCCGCCCGCTCCCTTGACGGCCACTTGCTCTTCGTCACTGCCATACGTACCCACCCCCTCCGCGCTGGTCCGCGGACCTGGATCAGAAGACTAAGCGAGTCGACCCTTTGCGGCCGGCAGTGTTTCACGCTTATCGACGAGCTCGTGGCGGCTCTTGCTGCGCGCAGCGCATCGAGGCGACGACGATGCACGTGACCAGCGGCCCGGAGCCCCTCGACCCAGGCGGCCTTGCCCGCAACGGTGCTCTCGAGGGCAGCACGCAGGCACAGCTCCACACGCAGGCCCTTCTCCACGATCTGCTTCACGGTCTTGCCCAGGGAGTCCGAGCCGTCCTTGTCGACGCGGGACGTCAGGTCCAAGGAAACCACGATGGCCTTGGGCTGGCGCTCGAGCAGGACCTTCAGGCGCGCCTGGTGCTTCTCCTGGGTCAGGTAGACGAAGGGGCCAACCGGCTCGTACACCACGACGCACTCGCTGGCCTTATCAAGGACGTTCCCATCAGAATGATGCACTCGCTGGCTTCTCCTCGAAGACTCCGCCAGCGACCCCAGGATCGCCGCCGCGGGTGACGGCCTCAGCAACAGCCGAGAATCGTGGTGGTCCACCTCGACCGTGCAAGTTGCCATCATGCTCGGATGCTGATCGCTCTGCTCGCTGCGCATGACCTGCTTCTCACCCACCCTGCTCGAGGTCATGCCCGGATGCTCGTCACCCCCCTCGGTGACGACGACCTGCCTCACCTGGTTCTCCTCGTCGGCCCCCGAGTAGAGCGACAAATGGGACTCGGCGAGCGCCGTCTGGGAAGCGTCGCGAAGCAAGGCGAAGACCATGCCCAGAATCAGGCCGTAGACAGGGTCCGTGAAGACGCAGATCAGGCAGGTGAACACCAGGAGGCCGAGCCCGCCCTTGTCCGTCTTCCAGAGATTGACCATGTAGCGGACCGGGGCCATGCGGACGGAGGCGAAGATGAGAAGCGCAGCCACCGAACACTGCGGCAGGTACGAGAAGACGGGCATGGCAACCACGGAGATTACGAGCACCGCGAGAGCGTTGATGACCTGCGACATCTTGTGGGTGGCACCCAGCGAGAAGTTCAGGGCCGTCCTCACAAAGACGCCTGTGGAGCAAATGCGGCCTACCGCAAAAAACCGCAGACCGCGTGACAGATCATATACCGGGAACCGCGCCGTCGGAAGCCGCACCGCGGGTCCGGGTGGGGACGTCTCGCGGCCTGTCAATCGAAGCCCCAACCCGTCCGTCTGTTCGGCGATCTTGGCCGAGATCAGCGTATCGAGCACGGCCACGAAGGCGATGCCGAAGCCGCATGGTATTGGTGAAAAAGTAGTGGCCCTGGCGCGGAGCCTCCAGGGACTGCCTGGGGGGATGGCACCCTCGTCTTAAGCTTCGTCCGTACTTGTCCTTGAGCGTCGGGGGATCGGATACGCCGAGCCTGTCCGAGTCGAGAGGAAGCCGAGGAGATCGTCAGGAGCGGGATTGATCACCGTCACGGGATCGGCTGGCCCTTGACCTTTGGGACCCACTTCACGAAAAGAGAGCAGCACCGCCATGCTCTTGGTGATGGCCGGCGCCCAGCTCAGCTCATCCAAGATCTTGAGGGACTCGATGACGTTCTCATAGAAGTTCGGGTGCTGCTAGAAGTGCCCCTGGCCCAGAATGCCCCCAGCTTTTCGCTCAATCTTGGAGCCCCTGGGGCCCTCTGAGCCTCGTGAGGGGCGCTCTGGAGGCCGTAGGGGGCCTCCTTGGAAATCCCGGGAGCACCCTGGGCCAGGGGAACCTCTAGCAACACCCGAGAAGTGCTCATGCTTGGGGCCTACGGGATGCAAGTCGAAAGCCATGTTCAGCTGGTTCAGGCCAATGATGAGAGCGACGGCCAGGGTGAAGCCCTCGAAGACGGCCGTGGGCATCAGAAGCGAGTAACGCTGCAGGTTCAGCATGTAGATGACGAGGATCATGCAGGCCGAGAGGAGGGACAGGTACGGCAAGACCCCGATGCCGTTGTACTTGATCGTGTAGGTGGTAAGCATGCCACTCAGGGCACCAGCGGGCCCGACGATGTTGTGGTCGCTGGAGCCGAACAGTCCTGCACAGATGCCTCCCCAGAAGGCGGTGGCAACACCCATTGTCGGCGCGGCGGGGTCTGCGCCAGCTACCGACGCGATGCCGAGCGAGATCGAGAGCGGCACGCTGACCATCGCCACGGTGAGCGCCGCCTGCCAGTTCTCCATGAAGACACGGTGGGCAGGCTTGACGCCAGTCATGGTTTTCAGCGAGAGCCTGCCCCCGATCTCGTCAGTGCCAGGGGCGGGCTTGTTGTCCTCAGGCACCTCTGCCACAGTCATCGCGGACCGACGAGGTGTGCGGAGGGGGTGGAAGCTGCCTTGTGGGAACAAGCTGTCGCCTCTGCAAGCCTTGAGACTTGAGCCGAAACCTCATCGGACAAGAACGGGAAGCGCCGATGTTGTCCACTGGGCTCGTAGGGGTGAGGACGACGGCAAGGCGGTGGCTGACGAGGATGATAGCATGGATGACGGGGAGGGTAGCGATGGGAGCAGGAGGACAGCGAGTGGGAAGACAAGCACGAGGACAAGGAGAAAAATATGGAGGAGGACGAATACGAGGAGGAATGAAGCGGAGGAGGAGGAAGAAGAGGAGAAGGAGGAGGGGGAGGAGGAGAAGAAGGACGACGATGACGAAGTAGGACGGTAAGGAGCACGAGTAAGAGGACGTCGAAGAAGCGGGGGGGCCGTGTTCTTTTGAGGCTGCCCTGGGGGCTGTTGGGGCCATCTGGGGCTATGTTCGGGCATCGTAGGGGCCTCTTAGAGGGCTGTCGGGATCCTCTTAGGGGGCTACTGGGGTCTTCTTGGGCTGCCTGGGCGTCGCCTACGGTTCTGTGGAGGCTCTCTCAGGCCGTCTTGGCGCCATCTTGGGCTGTCCTGGGTCTCTTAGGGGGCCTCTTGGGACACTCTTTCGGGGTCCTCCGGGGGGGCTTTGAGGGTTCTTCTGGGCCACGGTGGTCCCCTCCAAGAGCGATTCCAAGACGGCGTTGCTTCGGAGCCTCCTCCGGAGCCAGTTGTTCGAGGATGTCCCAAGCGAAACGGCCATTTTCAGAAACCTACCCAGACAAACGGGAAGCACCATTTCTGTAAGCTTGCGTGCGCACGCGCGCATGGATCAGCACCCAACACGCATAGGCATAAATGGGGTGCACTCGCGGGCTTCCAAGAATATCCGAGTGGTTGCCATTGTGTTTAATGGTCGCCTGCAGTTGCGCATGTTCTGTGTACGCGCGTATGTATGTGTGTATGTATGTGTATGTGTCTGTGCCTGTGTCTGTGTCATTGTCTGTGTCTGTGTCTGTGTCTGTGTCTGTGTCTGTGTCTGTGTCTGTGTCTGTGTCTGTGTCTGTGTCTGTGTCTGTGTCTGTGTCTGTGTCTGCGTGTGTGTATGTGCATGTGTATGTGTATGTGTATGTGATGTGTATGTATGTGTATGTGTGTATATGAATGTATGTGTGTATGTGTGTATGCGTGTATGCGTGTATGCGTGTATGTGTGTACGTGTATATATGTATATGTGTGTCCATGTGTGTCTATGTGTATATTGTGTATATGCATATGTGTAGATGTGTGTATGCGTATGTGTAAGTATGTGCATATGTGTGTAATGTGTGTATGAGTGTCTTTGTGTGTATGTGTGTATGTGTATATGTATATGTGTATGTGTGTATGTGAGTATGTGTGTATGTATGTGTATGTGTATGTGCATGTGTGTATGTGTGTATGTGTATGTGTGTATGTGTGTATGTGTGTATGTGTGTATGTGTGTGTGTGTCTGTGTATGTGTGCATGTGTGTATGTGTGAATGTGTGTATGTTTGTATGTGTGTTCCCCAATCAGAGCTTGCCTCTGTAGGGGTCCTAGCGGATTCGCATGGTTAGGTTGATTAGCTGTGGCGCAATTTCGGATGCACGCCTGGGTGCCCGGGTGCCCGGGAGGGGCTTCCCTGGCTCAACGCAACTCAGTGAGGCGAGCGTGAAACCGTTACGCATACCCCTTGAATTGTGCAGTTCAAAACGCGTGAGCCCGATGGTGGGGAAGGAAAGCGAGAGCCGCATGGAGGAGAGAAGAAGGGAGCAACGCCTGCAAATACCGCGCACAGGCCTCCTTGAGACCGGGTGGCTGATGACCACTCACGAACAAGGAATCGCGGGGAAGAGACCCCACATATCCTGAAACGCATCTGTCTGACCAATAAATGACGGCAGAGGTATCGCAAAAGCGTTGCAGAACGCCTGCCAAGGAGGGAGAAAGCCCCTGACGCTGCCTACCTAGAGGCAGCACGACGGCGGGACGAACGTTAGCGTGGGAAAGAAACTCCCTCAGGCTGGTGAGGACAAACCTCGTGCTAGCACGCGATGCAATCAATACAGGCGGTAGATCCGTGTCGCTTGCCTGCGGATTGGTACTTGTCAAAATGAAGGGGCCCTGGGACACACAAATAAATACACACAAATAACAGGATTCCCCATATGTTCCCACATGTTCTGGGTTTTTGTCTTCCCCCCCACTTCCCATATTTTCCCATATGTTCTGGGGAATCGTCGATTAATTGTGTCTGTGTGCTGTTCCCCTCCTGTTAAAGAGGGGCAGGCACGCCCTGTGAGGCCAAACAGGGCTAAACGCCCAGCAAGCGTCCGGCATGTTCGGCGGATCGGCCGCGCTCTGTGGCGCCACAGGACAGCGCCAACAACCCCAAAAAGTAGACCAGCGCGCAGCAGCGAGCCGCAACGACGCCTCACTGCTGCCCCAGTTTTCCCTCGCTCGGCCCTCATGCCGCCCGCTTCGCCTTGACGTCCACTTGGCTCTTCGACACTGCCTACGCACCCCTCTGCGCTGTCGGCGCGACTGGATCAGAAGACTAGCGGAGGTCGACCCTTGCGGCCGGCAGTGTTCACGCTTTCGACGAGCTCGTGGCGGCCTGTGCTGCGCGCAGCGCATCGAGGCGACGACGATGCACGTGACCGGCGGCCCGGAGCCCCTCGACCCAGGCGGCCTTGCCCGCAACGGTGCTCTCGAGGGCAGCAGGCAGGCACAGCTCCACTCGCAGGCCCTTCTCCACGATCTGCTTCACGGTCTTGCCCAGGGAGTCCGAGCCGTCCTTGTCGACGCGGGACGTCAGGTCCAGGGAAACCACGATGGCCTTGGGCTGGCGCTCGAGCAGGACCTTCAGGCGCGCCTGGTGCTTCTCCTGGGTCAGGTAGACGAAGGGGCCAACCGGCTCGTACACCACGACGCACTCGCTGGCCTTATCAAGGACGTTCCCATCAGAATGATGCACTCGCTGGCTTCTCCTCGAAGACTCCGCCAGCGACCCCAGGATCGCCGCCGCGGGTGACGGCCTCAGCAACAGCCGAGAATCGTGGTGGTCCACCTCGACAGTGCAAGTTGCCGTCATGCTCGGATGCTGATCGCTCTGCTCGCTGCGCATGACCTGCTTCTCACCCACCCTGCTCGAGGTCATGCCCGGATGCTCGTCACCCCCCTCGGTGACGACGACCTGCCTCACCTGGTTCTCCTCGTCGGCCCCCGAGTAGAGCGACAAACGGGACTCGGCGAGCGCCGTCTGGGAGGCGTCGCGAAGCAAGGCGAAGACCATGCCCAGAATCAGGCCGTAGACAGGGTCCGTGAAGACGCAGATCAGGCAGGTGAACACCAGGAGGCCGAGCCCGCCCTTGTCCGTCTTCCAGAGATTGACCATGTAGCGGACCGGGGCCATGCGGACGGAGGCGAAGATGAGAAGCGCGGCCACCGAGCACTGCGGCAGGTACGAGAAGACGGGCATGGCAACCACGGAGATTACGAGCACCGCGAGAGCGTTGATGACCTGCGACATCTTGTGGGTGGCACCCAGCGAGAAATTCAGGGCCGTCCTCACAAAGACGCCTGTGGGAGGCATGGCGCCTACCGCACCGCAGACCGCGTGACAGATCATGATACCGAGCGTCTCGCGGCTGTCATCGAAGCCCCAGCCCGTCTTCTGCTCGGCGATCTTGGCCGAGATCAGCGTCTCGAGCACGGCCACGAAGGCGATGCCGAAGGCCGCAGTGAAGATGCCAAAGTAGTTACCCTGCGCGTAAAACTCCAGGGGCTGCTCTGGGGGGACGACGACCCTCGCCTTAAGCTCTCCGTACTTGTCCTTGAGCGTCGGGATGCGGATGCCGCCGAGGCTGTCCGAGTCGGAGAGGAAGCCGAGGAGGATCGTCAGGAGCGGGATGATCACCGTCCACGGGATCGGCTGGCCCTTGACCTTTGGGACCCACTTCACGAGAGAGAGGAGAAGCACCGCAAGGAACACGAAGGTGATGGCCGGCGCCCAGCTCAGCTCATCCAAGATCTTGAGGGACTCGATGACGTTCTCATAGAAGTTCGGGTGCTGCTAGAAGTGCCCCTGGCCCAGAATGCCCCCAGCTTTTCGCTCAATCTTGGAGCCCCTGGGGCCCTCTGAGCCTCGTGAGGGGCGCTCTGGAGGCCGTAGGGGGCCTCCTTGGAAATCCCGGGAGCACCCTGGGCCAGGGGAACCTCTAGCAACACCCGAGAAGTGCTCATGCTTGGGGCCTACGGGATGCAAGTCGAAAGCCATGTTCAGCTGGTTCAGGCCAATGATGAGAGCGACGGCCAGGGTGAAGCCCTCGAAGACGGCCGTGGGCATCAGAAGCGAGTAACGCTGCAGGTTCAGCATGTAGATGACGAGGATCATGCAGGCCGAGAGGAGGGACAGGTACGGCAAGACCCCGATGCCGTTGTACTTGATCGTGTAGGTGGTAAGCATGCCACTCAGGGCACCAGCGGGCCCGACGATGTTGTGGTCGCTGGAGCCGAACAGTCCTGCACAGATGCCTCCCCAGAAGGCGGTGGCAACACCCATTGTCGGCGCGGCGGGGTCTGCGCCAGCTACCGACGCGATGCCGAGTGAGATCGAGAGCGGCACGCTGACCATCGCCACGGTGAGCGCCGCCTGCCAGTTCTCCATGAAGACACGGTGGGCAGGCTTGACGCCAGTCATGGTTTTCAGCGAGAGCCTGCCCCCGATCTCGTCAGTGCCAGGGGCGGGCTTGTTGTCCTCAGGCACCTCTGCCACAGTCATCGCGGACCGACGAGGTGTGCGGAGGGGGTGGAAGCTGCCTTGTGGGAACAAGCTGTCGCCTCTGCAAAACTTGAGACTTGAGCCGAAACCTCATCGGACAAGAACGGGAAGCGCCGATGTTGTCCACTGGGCTCGTAGGGGTGAGGACGACGGCAAGGCGGTGGCTGACGAGGATGATAGCATGGATGACGGGGAGGGTAGCGATGGGAGCAGGAGGACAGCGAGTGGGAAGACCAGCACGAGGACGAGGAGGAAAATATGGAGGAGGACGAATACGAGGAGGAATGAAGCGGAGGAGGAAGAAGAGAAGGAGGAGGGGGAGGAGGAGAAGGACGACGATGACGAAGTAGGACGGTAAGGAGCACGAGTAAGAGGACGTCGAAGAAGCGAGGGGGCCGTGATCTTTTGAGGCTGCCCTGGGGGCTGTTGGGGCCATCTGGGGCTATGTTTGGGCTTCGTGGGGGCCTCTTAGAGGGCTGTCGGGGTCCTCTTAGGGGGCTACCTACTGGGGTCTTCTTGGGCTGTCTGGGCGTGGCTTACGGTTCTGTGGAGGCTCTCTGAGGCCGTCTTGGCGCCATCTGGGGCTGTCCTAGGTCTCTTCGGGGGCCTCTTGGGACACTCTTTTGGGGTCCTCCGGGGGGCTTTGAGGGTTCTTCTGGGCCACGGTGGTCCCCTCCAAGAGCGATTCCAAGACGGCGTTGCTTCGGAGCCTCCTCCGGAGCCAGTTGTTCGAGGATGTCCCGAGCGAAACGGTCATTTTCAGAAACCTACCCGGACAAACGGGAAGCACCGTTTCTGTAAGCTTGCGCGCGCACGCGCGCATGGATCAGCACCCAACACGCATGGGCACAAATGGGGTGCACTCGCGGGCTTCCCCAAAATATCCGAGTGGTTGCCATTGTGTTTAATGGTCGCCTGCGGTTGCGCATGTTCTGTGTACGCGCGTATGTTATGTGTGTATGTATGTGTATGTGTCTGTGTCTGTGTCTGTGTCTGTGTCATTGTCTGTGTCTGTGTCTGTGTCTGTGTCTGTGTCTGTGTCTGCGTGTGTGTAGGTGCATGTGTATGTGCATATGTATGTTATGTGTATGTATGTGTATGTGTATGTGTATGTGTATGTGTATATGACTGTATGTGGGTATATGTGTATATGTGTGTATGCGTGTATGCGTGTATGCGTGTATATGTGTACGTGTGAATATGTATATGTGTGCCCATGTGTGTCTGTGTATATTGTGTATATGTCATATGTGTAGATGTGTCTATGCGTATGTGTAAATATGTGCATATGTGTGTACATGTGTGTATGAGTGCCTTTTTGTGTATGTGTGTATGAATATATGTGTATGTGTATGTGTGTGCATGTGAGTACGTGTGTGTGAATGTATATGTGTATGTGCACGTGTGTATGTGTACCTGTGTATGTGTGTATGTGTGTATGTGTGAATGTGTGTGTGTCTGTGTATGTGTGCATGTGTGTATGTGTGAATGTGTGTATGTTTGTATGTGCGTTCCCCAATCAGAGCTTGCCTCTGTAGGGGTCCTAGCGGATTCGAATGGTTAGGCGAATTAGCTGTGGCGCGATTTCGACGCCTGGGTGCCCGGGTGCCCCGGAGGGGCTTCCCTGGCTCAACGCAACTCAGTGAGGCGAGCGTGAAACCGTTACGCATACCCCTTGAATTGCGCAGTTCAAAACGCGTGAGCCCGATGGTGGGGAAGGAAAGCGAGAGACGCATGGAGGAGAGAAAAAGGGAGCAACGCCTGCAAATACCGCGCACAGGCCTCCTTGAGACCGGGTGGCTGATGACCACTCACGAACAAGGAATCGCGGGGAAGAGACCCCACATATCCTGAAACGCATCTGTCTGACCAATAAATGACGGCAGAGGTATCGCAAAAGCGCTGCAGAACGCCTGCCAAGGAGGGGGAAAGCCCCTGACGCTGCCTACCTAGAGGCAGCACGACGGCGGGACGAACGTTAGCGTGGGAAAGAAACTCCCCCAGGCTGGTGAGGACAAACCTCGTGCTAGCACGCGATGCTATCAATACAGGCAGCAGATCCGCGTCGCGTGCCTGCGGATTGAGACTTGTCAAAATGAAGGGGCCCTGGGACACACAAATAAATACACACTAATGACAGGATTCCCCATATGTTCCCACATGTTCTGGGTTTTTGTCATCCCCCCCACTTCCCATATTTTCCCATATGTTCTGGGGAATCGTCGATTAATTGTGCGTGTTTTCCCCTCCTGTTAAAAGCGGGGCAGGCACGCCCTGTGAGGCCAGACAGGGCTAAACGCCCGGCAAGCGTCCGGCATGTTCGGCGGATCGGCCGCGCTCTGTGGCGCCACAGGACAGCGCCAACAACCCCAAAAAGTAGACCAACGCGCAGCAGCGAGTCGCAACGACGCGAAACTGCTGCCCCAGTTTTCCCTCGGCCCTCATGCCGCCCGCTTCGCCTTGACGTCCACTTGGCTCTTCGACACTGCCTACGTACGCACCCCTCCGCGCTGTCCGCGCGACTGGATCAGAAGACTAGCGGAGGTCGACCCTTGCGGCCGGCAGTGTTCACGCTTTCGACGAGCTCGTGGCGGCCTGTGCTGCGCGCAGCGCATCGAGGCGACGACGATGCACGTGACCGGCGGCCCGGAGCCCCTCGACCCAGGCGGCTTTGCCCGCAACGGTGCTCTCGAGGGCAGCAGGCAGGCACAGCTCCACACGCAGGCCCTTCTCCACGATCTGCTTCACGGTCTTGCCCAGGGAGTCCGAGCCGTCCTTGTCGACGCGGGACGTCAGGTCCAGGGAAACCACGATGGCCTTGGGCTGGCGCTCGAGCAGGACCTTCAGGCGCGCCTGGTGCTTCTCCTGGGTCAGGTAGACGAAGGGGCCAACCGGCTCGTACACCACGACGCACTCGCTGGCCTTATCAAGGACGTTCCCATCAGAATGATGCACTCGCTGGCTTCTCCTCGAAGACTCCGCCAGCGACCCCAGGATCGCCGCCGCGGGTGACGGCCTCAGCAACAGCCGAGAATCGTGGTGGTCCACCTCGACCGTGCAAGTTGCCGTCATGCTCGGATGCTGATCGCTCTGCTCGCTGCGCATGACCTGCTTCTCACCCACCCTGCTCAAGGTCATGCCCGGATGCTCGTCACCCCCCTCGGTGACGACGACCTGCTTCACCTGGTTCTCCTCGTCGGCCCCCGAGTAGAGCGACAAACGGGACTCGGCGAGCGCCGTCTGGGAGGCGTCGCGAAGCAAGGCGAAGACCATGCCCAGAATCAGGCCGTAGACAGGGTCCGTGAAGACGCAGATCAGGCAGGTGAACACCAGGAGGCCGAGCCCGCCCTTGTCCGTCTTCCAGAGATTGACCATGTAGCGGACCGGGGCCATGCGGACGGAGGCGAAGATGAGAAGCGCAGCCACCGAGCACTGCGGCAGGTACGAGAAGACGGGCATGGCAACCACGGAGATTACGAGCACCGCGAGAGCGTTGATGACCTGCGACATCTTGTGGGTGGCACCCAGCGAGAAGTTCAGGGCCGTCCTCACAAAGACGCCTGTGGGAGGCATGGCGCCTACCGCACCGCAGACCGCGTGACAGATCATGATACCGAGCGTCTCGCGGCTGTCATCGAAGCCCCAGCCCGTCTTCTGCTCGGCGATCTTGGCCGAGATCAGCGTCTCGAGCACGGCCACGAAGGCGATGCCGAAGGCCGCAGTGAAGATGCCAAAGTAGTTGCCCTGCGCGTAAAACTCCAGGGACTGCTCTGGGGGGACGACGACCCTCGCCTTAAGCTCTCCGTACTTGTCCTTGAGCGTCGGGATGCGGATGCCGCCGAGGCTGTCCGAGTCGGAGAGGAAGCCGAGGAGGATCGTCAGGAGCGGGATGATCACCGTCCACGGGATCGGCTGGCCCTTGACCTTTGGGACCCACTTCACGAGAGAGAGGAGCAGCACCGCAAGGAACACGAAGGTGATGGCCGGCGCCCAGCTCAGCTCATCCAAGATCTTGAGGGACTCGATGACGTTCTCATAGAAGTTCGGGTGCTGCTAGAAGTGCCCCTGGCCCAGAGTGCCCCCAGCTTTTCGCTCAATCTTGGAGCCCCTGGGGCCCTCTGAGCCTCGTGAGGGGCGCTCTGGAGGCCGTGGGGGGCCTCCTTGGAAATCCCGGGAGCACCCTGGGCCAGGGGAACCTCTAGCAACACCCGAGAAGTGCTCATGCTTGGGGCCTACGGGATGCAAGTCGAACGCCATGTTCAGCTGGTTCAGGCCAATGATGAGAGCGACGGCCAGGGTGAAGCCCTCGAAGACGGCCGTGGGCATCAGAAGCGAGTAACGCTGCAGGTTCAGCATGTAGATGACGAGGATCATGCAGGCCGAGAGGAGGGACAGGTACGGCAAGACCCCGATGCCGTTGTACTTGATCGTGTAAGTGGTAAGCATGCCACTCAGGGCACCAGCGGGCCCGACGATGTTGTGGTCGCTGGAGCCGAACAGTCCTGCACAGATGCCTCCCCAGAAGGCGGTGGCAACACCCATTGTCGGCGCGGCGGGGTCTGCGCCAGCTACCGACGCGATGCCGAGCGAGATCGAGAGCGGCACGCTGACCATCGCCACGGTGAGCGCCGCCTGCCAGTTCTCCATGAAGACACGGTGGGCAGGCTTGACGCCAGTCATGGTTTTCAGCGAGAGCCTGCCCCCGATCTCGTCAGTGCCAGGGGCGGGCTTGTTGTCCTCAGGCACCTCTGCCACAGTCATCGCGGACCGACGAGGTGTGCGGAGGGGGTGGAAGCTGCCTTGTGGGAACAAGCTGTCGCCTCTGCAAGCCTTGAGACTTGAGCCGAAACCTCATCGGACAAGAACGGGAAGCGCCGATGTTGTCCACTGGGCTCGTAGGGGTGAGGACGACGGCAAGGCGGTGGCTGACGAGGATGATAGCATGGATGACGGGGAGGGTAGCGATGGGAGCAGGAGGACAGCGAGTGGGAAGACAAGCACGAGGACAAGGAGAAAAATATGGAGGAGGACGAATACGAGGAGGAATGAAGCGGAGGAGGAGGAAGAAGAGGAGAAGGAGGAGGGGGAGGAGGAGAAGAAGGACGACGATGACGAAGTAGGACGGTAAGGAGCACGAGTAAGAGGACGTCGAAGAAGCGGGGGGGCCGTGTTCTTTTGAGGCTGCCCTGGGGGCTGTTGGGGCCATCTGGGGCTATGTTCGGGCATCGTAGGGGCCTCTTAGAGGGCTGTCGGGATCCTCTTAGGGGGCTACTGGGGTCTTCTTGGGCTGCCTGGGCGTCGCCTACGGTTCTGTGGAGGCTCTCTCAGGCCGTCTTGGCGCCATCTTGGGCTGTCCTGGGTCTCTTAGGGGGCCTCTTGGGACACTCTTTCGGGGTCCTCCGGGGGGGCTTTGAGGGTTCTTCTGGGCCACGGTGGCCCCCTCCAAGAGCGATTCCAAGACGGTGTTGCTTCGGAGCCTCCTCCGGAGCCAGTTGTTCGAGGATGTCCCAAGCGGAACGGCCATTTTCAGAAACCTACCCAGACAAACGGGAAGCACCATTTCTGTAAGCTTGCGTGCGCACGCGCGCATGGATCAGCACCCAACACGCATGGGCATAAATGGGGTGCACTCGCGGGCTTCCAAGAATATCCGAGTGGTTGCCATTGTGTTTAATGGTCGCCTGCAGTTGCGCATGTTCTGTGTACGCGCGTATGTATGTGTGTATGTATGTGTATGTGTCTGTGCCTGTGTCTGTGTCATTGTCTGTGTCTGTGTCTGTGTCTGTGTCTGTGTCTGTGTCTGTGTCTGTGTCTGTGTCTGTGTCTGTGTCTGTGTCTGTGTCTGTGTCTGTGTCTGCGCGTGTGTATGTGCATGTGTATGTGTATGTGTATGTGATGTGTATGTATGTGTATGTGTGTATATGAATGTATGTGTGTATGTGTGTATGCGTGTATGCGTGTATGCGTGTATGTGTGTACGTGTATATATGTATATGTGTGTCCATGTGTGTCTATGTGTATATTGTGTATATGCATATGTGTAGATGTGTGTATGCGTATGTGTAAGTATGTGCATATGTGTGTACATGTGTGTATGAGTGTCTTTGTGTGTATGTGTGTATGTGTATATGTGTATGTGTATGTGTGTGTATGTGAGTATGTGTGTATGTATGTGTATGTGTATGTGCATGTGTGTATGTGTGTATGTGTGTATGTGTGTATGTGTGTATGTGTGTATGTGTGTATGTGTGTATGTGTGTGTGTGTCTGTGTATGTGTGCATGTGTGTATGTGTGAATGTATGTTTGTATGTGTCTTCCCCAATCAGAGCTTGCCTCTGTAGGGGTCCGAGCGGATTCGCATGATTAGGTTGATTAGCTGTGGCGCAATTTCGGCTGCACGCCTGGGTGCCCGGGTGCCCGGGAGGGGCTTCCCTGGCTCAACGCAACTCAGTGAGGCGAGCGTGAAACCGTTACGCATACCCCTTGAATTGTGCAGTTCAAAACGCGTGAGCCCGATGGTGGGGAAGGAAAGCGAGAGCCGCATGGAGGAGAGAAGAAGGGAGCAACGCCTGCAAATACCGCGCACAGGCCTCCTTGAGACCGGGTGGCTGATGACCACTCACGAACAAGGAATCGCGGGGAAGAGACCCCACATATCCTGAAACGCATCTGTCTGACCAATAAATGACGGCAGAGGTATCGCAAAAGCGTTGCAGAACGCCTGCCAAGGAGGGAGAAAGCCCCTGACGCTGCCTACCTAGAGGCAGCACGACGGCGGGACGAACGTTAGCGTGGGAAAGAAACTCCCTCAGGCTGGTGAGGACAAACCTCGTGCTAGCACGCGATGCAATCAATACAGGCGGTAGATCCGTGTCGCTTGCCTGCGGATTGGTACTTGTCAAAATGAAGGGGCCCTGGGACACACAAATAAATACACACAAATAACAGGATTCCCCATATGTTCCCACATGTTCTGGGTTTTTGTCTTCCCCCCCACTTCCCATATTTTCCCATATGTTCTGGGGAATCGTCGATTAATTGTGTCTGTGTGCTGTTCCCCTCCTGTTAAAGAGGGGCAGGCACGCCCTGTGAGGCCAGACAGGGCTAAACGCCCAGCAAGCGTCCGGCATGTTCGGCGGATCGGCCGCGCTCTGTGGCGCCACAGGACAGCGCCAACAACCCCAAAAAGTAGACCAGCGCGCAGCAGCGAGCCGCAACGACGCCTCACTGCTGCCCCAGTTTTCCCTCGCTCGGCCCTCATGCCGCCCGCTTCGCCTTGACGTCCACTTGGCTCTTCGACACTGCCTACGCACCCCTCTGCGCTGTCGGCGCGACTGGATCAGAAGACTAGCGGAGGTCGACCCTTGCGGCCGGCAGTGTTCACGCTTTCGACGAGCTCGTGGCGGTCTGTGCTGCGCGCAGCGCATCGAGGCGACGACGATGCACGTGACCGGCGGCCCGGAGCCCCTCGACCCAGGCGGCCTTGCCCGCAACGGTGCTCTCGAGGGCAGCAGGCAGGCACAGCTCCACTCGCAGGCCCTTCTCCACGATCTGCTTCACGGTCTTGCCCAGGGAGTCCGAGCCGTCCTTGTCGACGCGGGACGTCAGGTCCAGGGAAACCACGATGGCCTTGGGCTGGCGCTCGAGCAGGACCTTCAGGCGCGCCTGGTGCTTCTCCTGGGTCAGGTAGACGAAGGGGCCAACCGGCTCGTACACCACGACGCACTCGCTGGCCTTATCAAGGACGTTCCCATCAGAATGATGCACTCGCTGGCTTCTCCTCGAAGACTCCGCCAGCGACCCCAGGATCGCCGCCGCGGGTGACGGCCTCAGCAACAGCCGAGAATCGTGGTGGTCCACCTCGACAGTGCAAGTTGCCGTCATGCTCGGATGCTGATCGCTCTGCTCGCTGCGCATGACCTGCTTCTCACCCACCCTGCTCGAGGTCATGCCCGGATGCTCGTCACCCCCCTCGGTGACGACGACCTGCCTCACCTGGTTCTCCTCGTCGGCCCCCGAGTAGAGCGACAAACGGGACTCGGCGAGCGCCGTCTGGGAGGCGTCGCGAAGCAAGGCGAAGACCATGCCCAGAATCAGGCCGTAGACAGGGTCCGTGAAGACGCAGATCAGGCAGGTGAACACCAGGAGGCCGAGCCCGCCCTTGTCCGTCTTCCAGAGATTGACCATGTAGCGGACCGGGGCCATGCGGACGGAGGCGAAGATGAGAAGCGCGGCCACCGAGCACTGCGGCAGGTACGAGAAGACGGGCATGGCAACCACGGAGATTACGAGCACCGCGAGAGCGTTGATGACCTGCGACATCTTGTGGGTGGCACCCAGCGAGAAGTTCAGGGCCGTCCTCACAAAGACGCCTGTGGGAGGCATGGCGCCTACCGCACCGCAGACCGCGTGACAGATCATGATACCGAGCGTCTCGCGGCTGTCATCGAAGCCCCAGCCCGTCTTCTGCTCGGCGATCTTGGCCGAGATCAGCGTCTCGAGCACGGCCACGAAGGCGATGCCGAAGGCCGCAGTGAAGATGCCAAAGTAGTTGCCCTGCGCGTAAAACTCCAGGGACTGCTCTGGGGGGACGACGACCCTCGCCTTAAGCTCTCCGTACTTGTCCTTGAGCGTCGGGATGCGGATGCCGCCGAGGCTGTCCGAGTCGGAGAGGAAGCCGAGGAGGATCGTCAGGAGCGGGATGATCACCGTCCACGGGATCGGCTGGCCCTTGACCTTTGGGACCCACTTCACGAGAGAGAGGAGCAGCACCGCAAGGAACACGAAGGTGATGGCCGGCGCCCAGCTCAGCTCATCCAAGATCTTGAGGGACTCGATGACGTTCTCATAGAAGTTCGGGTGCTGCTAGAAGTGCCCCTGGCCCAGAGTGCCCCCAGCTTTTCGCTCAATCTTGGAGCCCCTGGGGCCCTCTGAGCCTCGTGAGGGGCGCTCTGGAGGCCGTGGGGGCCTCCTTGGAAATCCCGGGAGCACCCTGGGCCAGGGGAACCTCTAGCAACACCCGAGAAGTGCTCATGCTTGGGGCCTACGGGATGCAAGTCGAACGCCATGTTCAGCTGGTTCAGGCCAATGATGAGAGCGACGGCCAGGGTGAAGCCCTCGAAGACGGCCGTGGGCATCAGAAGCGAGTAACGCTGCAGGTTCAGCATGTAGATGACGAGGATCATGCAGGCCGAGAGGAGGGACAGGTACGGCAAGACCCCGATGCCGTTGTACTTGATCGTGTAAGTGGTAAGCATGCCACTCAGGGCACCAGCGGGCCCGACGATGTTGTGGTCGCTGGAGCCGAACAGTCCTGCACAGATGCCTCCCCAGAAGGCGGTGGCAACACCCATTGTCGGCGCGGCGGGGTCTGCGCCAGCTACCGACGCGATGCCGAGCGAGATCGAGAGCGGCACGCTGACCATCGCCACAGTGAGCGCCGCCTGCCAGTTCTCCATGAAGACACGGTGGGCAGGCTTGACGCCAGTCATGGTTTTCAGCGAGAGCCTGCCCCCGATCTCGTCAGTGCCAGGGGCGGGCTTGTTGTCCTCAGGCACCCCTGCCACAGTCATCGCGGACCGACGAGGTGTGCGGAGGGGGTGGAAGCTGCCTTGCGGGAACAAGCTGTCGCCTCTGCAAGCCTTGAGACTTGAGCCGAAACCTCATCGGACAAGAACGGGAAGCGCCGATGTTGTCCACTGGGCTCGTAGGGGTGAGGACGACGTCAAGGCGGTGGCTGACGAGGATGATAGCATGGATGACGGGGAGGGTAGCGATGGGAGCGGGAGGACAGCGAGTGGGAAGACCAGCACGAGGACGAGGAGGAAAATATGGAGGAGGACGAATACGAGGAGGAATGAAGCGGAGGAGGAAGAAGAGGAGGAGGAGGGGGAGGAGGAGAAGGACGACGATGACGAAGTAGGACGGTAAGGAGCACGAGTAAGAGGACGTCGAAGAAGCGGGGGGGCCGTGATCTTTTGAGGCTGCCCTGGGGGCTGTTGGGGCCATCTGGGGCTATGTTTGGGCTTCGTGGGGGCCTCTTAGAGGGCTGTCGGGGTCCTCTTAGGGGGCTACTGGGGTCTTCTTGGGCTGTCTCGGCGTGGCCTACCGTTCTGTGGAGGCTCTCTCTCAGGCCGTCTTGGCGCCATCTTGGGCTGTCCTGGGTCTCTTAGGGGGCCTCTTGGGACACTCTTTTGGGGTCCTCCGGGGGAGCTTTGAGGGTTCTTCTGGGCCACGGTGTTCCCCTCCAAGAGCGATTCCAAGACGGTGTTGCTTCGGAGCCCCCTCCGGAGCCAGTTGTTCGAGGATGTCCCGAGCGAAGCGGCCGTTTTCAGAAACCTGCCCGGACAAACGGGAAGCACCGTTTCTGTAAGTTTGCGTGCGCACGCGCGCATGGATCAGCGCCCAGCACGCACGGGCACAAATGGGGTGCACTCGCGGGCTTATCCGAGTGGTTGCCATTATGTTTAATGGTCGTCTGCGTTTGCGCATGTTATGTGTACGCGCGTATGTATGTGCGTATGTATGGGTATGTGTATGTGTCTGTGTCTGTGTCTGTGTCATTGTCTGTGTCTGTGTCTGTGTCTGTGTCTGTGTCTGTGTCTGTGTCTGTGTCTGTGTCTGTGTCTGTGTCTGTGTCTGTGTCTGTGTCTGTGTCTGCGTGTGTGTATGTGCATGTGTATGTGTATGTGTATGTGATGTGCATGTATGTGTATGTGTATGTGTATATGAATGTGTGTATGTGGGTATGCTTGTATGTGTGTATGAGTGTATGAGTGTATGCGTGTACGTGTGTATGTGTATATGTGTGTCCATGTGTCTATGTGTATATTGTGTAGATGTACATGTGTAGATGTGTCTACATGTATGTGTATATAGGTGCATATGTGTACATATGTGTGTATGAAAGTATGTGTATATGTGTATGTGTATGTGTATGTGTATACGTGTATGTGTGTGCATGTGAGTATGTGAGTATGTATGTATATGTGTATGTGTGCATTTGTGTATGTGTATATGTGTATGTGTATGTGTGTATGTGTGCGTGTGTCTGTGTATGTGTTTATGTGTGTATGTGTGAATGTGTGTGTTTGTATGTGTGTTCCCCAATCAGAGCTTGTCTCTGTAGGGATCCTAGCGGATTCATATGGTCAGGTTAGTTAATTGTGGCGCCGATTTCGGCGGCACGCCCGGGTGCCCGGGTGCTCGGGTGCCCGGGTGCCCGGGTGCCCGGGTGCCCGGGTGCCCTGGTGCCCGGGTGCCCGGGTGCCAGGGTGCCCGGGTGCCCGGGTGCCCGGGTGCCCAGGTGCCCTGGTGCCCGGGTGCCCGGGTGCCCAGGTGCCCTGGTGCCCAGTAGCCCTGCCCTTCAGCCCTATAGCCTTGTAGCCTTTTCGCCCTATAGCCCTACAACCCTATAGCCCTATAGCCCTATAGCATGGAAGCCTTACAGGCCTATAGCCCTATAGCCCTATAGCCCAACAGCCCTATAGCCCTATAGCCCAACAGCCCTATAGCCCTATAGCCCCAGAGCCTTATAGCCCTATAGCCCTATTTGGAGAGGAGAGTGGCTTGCCAAATGCTGGAACGGTTGCAAGCGTTTAGGAACCATACACCAACCGTTGCGAATCAGTTCAGGAAGTGTCAGCCATCTCATGCCAATCGTTGGACATGTCCTAACAAACGCTGGTAACTTCGCTAAACGTTACAACGTTTACGCGTAGTTGGCTTTCGGAGATGTATCCCTGAGGACCCTTTGCATCCCCAAGCAAACGTTTAGGGTCAAGGAGTTGCAACGCTTTGTTGGATTGCCAAAGGTTTGCAGGACCAGTTGGCTAAAGGTTTAGCTAAAGGCGAGAGGGTTAGCTAATAGGTTTAGCAACCATGGGCAAGACCTTTGCTAAACCTTTAGCGCCCATCGCCGTAATGCCGTCTTGGACCAAACCTCCTTGTGGCTGGTTCGCATTCGAACCGCATCCGTCGAGGTTCGCCACAGAGGCCTTCGGAGGAATGGCCGCGCGCCAGCCTGTGGCTGAGGCTTGAGACCCTCCATCATCTCTGAATCATCCTGCTCTTTTTCTTGTTGTGCTTCTCTTTCTCATCCTCCTTCTCCTCCTCCTCATCCCCCTCCTCCTGCTCCCTTCCAAAGGCCATCGCTGGCGTGGGCACCGGCGTCGAGAGGGTCCTCCTGCAGTACGGGCAGGACGGGCAGCAGGTGAAGGCTTGGGACAGCTTGGTTGACATCCTCACGCCTAACCCAAAGCTGCTATGGAAGTGCATCCAGAGGGTCCAGAACCTCGTGGCGGATCCGACCAATCGCGGCGGCATGGGCGTCAGCGTTCTACATAGTCTATAACTATCCTACCATCCCCTCTCAAGTATCCCCCCGTCCCCCAGCAATTGCTTCGCAAGAGGGGATGGGGATGCGCTCGGTGATGCCGAAATGTGGGGCGGGGGCAGAGGGAATTTTCAAATGTTGCGAAGTCTGACTCCATTTCAGAACCCAAAATAAAACATGACAACAAATGCATAGTCCTCCACCTCATCCTCCGTCACCTGCGCCACCGCCCTCCTCCCCCTGCGCAGGTTCCAGAGGCGTTCGCCAACGGCGCTCGGCACTGCAGGGGCGGCTACTCCTACGGGAAAGCCAGCGCCGACAACTGGGCCGTGGAGGTCCAGCCAAGCACCACCCGCCACGCCGAGGTCGTGGAGATCAACAACCGCGTGTGCGGCGCCCACGGCATCGCGCCCGTGGCGACAGCGCTGGGCGCCACTTTTGGAGGATCGCATTGCGTGGTCTTCATGAAGGGCGTCTTGAGCGGCGCGTCGTTCGAGGATCCGATCGCGGCGCCTGCTGGTTTCTTTGACAAGGATCGCATGGGCGCCGCTTGGCCTGGCATCAAGAAAGCTCGCACCGACGGCCTCGAATTCAACATGCCGAGCGCGGACCTGGCGGCCAAACACCCGAATATCGTCGCCATCGGAACCGCTGCGCTCAACCGCAAAGCAGCCCTGGAGATGACGGAGGAGGAGGAGGAGGAGGAGGAGGAGGGCGGACCCCCCCCGGACGATGCACAACCACACCGTGGCCTCGATCGCTTCCGAAGCTGGCGAGGACGGCGCGCGGGAGGCGGCGAGGCCGGAGGCCCCTCAAGCAGGAGCCAGTGCGGTCAAGCTACGGCCACGCCGTCGTGCGCGTGGCCAAGGAGTTCCCTGGTGAGGAGGAGGACTGGAGGAGGAGGAGGAGGAGGAGGAGGAGGAGGAGGAGGAGGAGGAGGAGGACTGGAGGAGGAGGAGGAGGAGGAGGAGGAGGAGGAGGCGGAGGAGGAGGAGGAGGAGGAGGATTGATGGAGGAGGAGGAGGAGTTGCGCGACATACGGAACCTGCTGGTCAAGAGCCCGTCGGGCGCGGCTTCGTCGTGGGGAAAAGGTCGGCGGTTCGTTTCTGGACAAGGTGGCTGGCCTGCAGTGGTCCACGGTCACTGCGAGGAACAGGGTCAGGATGGCCGCGCCGATGAGTCAGATGGTCGGGTGCCACTTGCACAAGATGGTCGGTGGGCGTTGTGAGCTCCTCGGAGACAGCGACCTCGGGAAGCTGACGGCCCCGACGAACATCGCCGCCATCCAGAAAGCTGAGCTCATCATGGAGCAGGGCAGGGAGATCGCCAACGGCTTGGAGGGTCTCTCGAAGGAGCGCCAGCTCGAGCTGATCGCTCGCCACGACATTCGCATCGTGAACTGGCTCCTGAAGAAGGGGAAGCAGTCCAGGGACTACTAGCGCCAGCCAAATTATCCTGGCGAAGGACCCAACCATATGCTATTGTGAGTACCGCAATTGTGAATATCTTCTTCGGTGGAGCCCCCTACGGGGCCACGAAACGTACGAGGGGTGTGCCGAAATGAATGTGCGGGACGCATGCGGGCACACCCACTGTGGCCTTCGGTGGAGCTCCCTATGGGACCACAAAACGTGCGAGGGGTCACGAAACGCGTGAGGGGTGTGCCGAAATGAGTGTGCGGGACGCATGCGGGCACACCCACTGGGGCCTTCGGCGGAGCTCCCTCTGGGGCCACGAAACGTGTGAAGGGTATGCCGACATGGGCGTGCGGGACGCATGCGGGCAGCAGCACTGGGACCTCCGGTGGAGCCCCTCTACGGGGCCACGAAACGTGCGAGGGGTGTGCCGAAATGGGTGTGCGGGACGCATGCGGGCACACCCAGTGGTGTCTTCGGTGGAGCTCCCTATGGGACCACGAAACGTGTGAGGGGTCACGAAACGCGTGAGGGGTGTGCCGAAATGGATGTGCGGGACGCATGCGGGCACACCCACTGGGGCCTTCGGTGGAGCTCCCTATGGGGCCACGAAACGTGTGAAGGGTATGCCGACATGGGTGTGCGGTACGCATTCCCTATGGGGCCACGAAACGCGTGAGGGTGTGCCGAAATGGGTGTGCGTGACGCATGCGGGCGGCAGCACTCTGGGGCCTTCGGTGGAGCTCCCTATGGGGCCACGGAACGTGTGAGGGGTGTGCCGACATGAATGTGCGGGACGCATGCGGGCGGCAGCACTGGGGCC